AACAATAGTTTTTTTTTTTTTTTTAGAAGATGGTAAGTTTTTTTGTTTTGTTTTTCCAAGAGAAATTTTTGCTATAGGGCACATGCACTCAGCCGAAAGACAAAAATTGAGAAATCACTCCCTCTGGGGGTGGGCGGGAATGCCCAAGCTTCAGTCCCTTCTCCATCCTCGTCTCGGGATCTTGGGCACACACATGTGCCCAGCGTGTGTTTTAAGTTCACCAGGTCCAAGACTTGAACCACAGACTACTACGTGGGAGTCCAGCGACATTACCATTACGCTACCTGCTGGTCCCAATAAATATTTTTAGGGGAGATTTTTGGTATATGGCACGTGTGTTTTCTAGAGACAGAGAGACAGACGGGGAGTGAGACATCACCCCCAGGGGGAACGGCCACACTGCAGCCCCGTCACCTCCATTCTTCTGGAACATGCATATACACCTGGCTTGAGTTTCAAGCCACTGGGTCCGAGACTCAACCGCGGACACTTGGGAATCCAGCGCCTTAACCACTGCGCCACCTGCTGGCCCCCATTTTAAAATGTTTTAAAGTGTGACGTTGTCCGGTCCCAGCCAATGGGACCTGGGGAACCCCTCTGTAACGACCATCCCCTTTTCCCTCCACCCTGTGACCTCGTAGTGTGCAAGATGACCTGCCACAAGAAGTGTGTGCACAAGATTCAAAGCTATTGCTCGTACACGTGCGGGAGGAAGGTGAGCTCACTTAGATCTGGAACTTTGTCCGCCAACATCCCACAAGCAGGTGCCAGGCAAGCAGGTGCCAGGGGGGTAGGTGGTGCTGGATAGGCAGGGCCCAAGAACCCGTGCGCAGGCGCAGAGAGCTGGTGGGCGGGCCTCTGGGTCGTGGTTCCAAGGTTCCGCAGCGAGACACGCCCCTGCCCCTACTTCTGTCTGAGACCCCCCCTGCAAGGTCAGAGCTGGGCTCCTGTGTGCGTCTCAGACCCCAGCGCTGTTCAGCCGTTATCCTGGGAAAGCCCAGGGC